CCAGCTTGTGCAGTTTCTCTTGCAGTGGGCCTGGGTCAGGTGGCAGCTGGCATTTCTAGGAGGTGACAGAGCTTACAAACCCTTTGCCTCAGCTGATCCAAACAAATAAGGTGCTCACTCTCTTCTCCTGCTTGACTGACTGTGCCCTGGGTATTACCTACCTCTCAAGCTTTAAACTGTTGTTGCAAGTCAAAATTTCCAGGTGAATAAATTGGCACAAACTGCATATTACACAACTACTGATATGATAAACGTAGGCTCTGACTTCACTGTGCACTGTCGCCATGTGCTTTCCTGCCATATTTATGCCTCCCTCCTAGCTTAGGGAGGAGATGTGCACTGCAGAGCATAGTGGAGGATGTAGATATATCTATAAAAAAAACACAGGTATGTATTTACATCAGGTCAGCTACTCCATAAAAACCATCCCAAGAAAGCTCTGGATTTAATTAAATGCAAAACAGACTTTTCCCTGTTTCAGAGAACAAAACAAACTGCCTTGACTCTCTTGGTGTTTACCAGGAGGTAGGAACATGCAGGCAGGCAGTGACTATGCTTCCAAAGGGATCTGGTCCTTGCTTGGACAAACACTCACTGAGCAGAGACAAGGAGCCAGAGCTCCATCCAGCTGCACACCAAGCCGCGCTTGCAGCATCCCAGGCAACCATAGTACCTGCAGAGCAGGGGCAGAAATGACATGGGGCGTGTAGGAAACCTGAGTTCTTTGTGGGTAGCAGTCAAGGGCTGGGTAGGATGCCCTCAACACCAACACCAGACAATTGATAGATGCATTGAATACCTGAATGCCAGTCATGCCAACTGCTTCCAAGAGCCGGGTGTAGGGTTTTCCAGTACTTGCTTCACTTGATTAGTGGTGAAGTTAAGATATCTCCCCCACTGGCTTAAGTAGCATCAGTTTCAGGTCACCACTAAATTGCTGAATATAATGTCAAGGGGAAAAAAAAGAAAATACACAAATCTGCTCAAAATATAAAATGAAACAAGCGTACCAGAGTCCCACATAATTTCTCACTCGCAGGTAAAAGAGGGTTAACTTTTCCTTACTAGAAAGGTTACACTGAATTACAGAGGAATGTCACTTTTTGAGGGTTATTTGCTGTGAATCTCTACCCACAAGCCTACACTGCTTTTTAAGAAAATGAAGCTCTGCAACCCAGTTACAAAATCACAGCTTTAAGACAGAACTGATTGTAATCTTAGCAGGGCAATGAATTTTAAGGTTCATCTATGAGACAACCATCCACAGAATAAAATCCTTAAAATTACAGATTCCAGGTCTTTTGCAGCAAACACACTGAGATTCACTGACTAGGAAAATCGCCTCCCCTCCCTTTATGTACATATACTGACTTAAAAAGAATAAATACATACATACATAAATTAGCCTACACCAATTGGACACAGTGTCAGAGTTTCAGAAGTTCACTCCAAGCTTAAGGCACTTGCAAAACACAATTCTGTTCCAAAAGAAAGCAGCAAAGCAATAGCTCTGGCAATTAAATGAGCTCTGCCATGGTCATAGTGACACTAATAAAGCAGGTGAAAAACTTAGCTCCTAAGAGAACATTTCTGCATGCAAAACATAATTATTAAAATCGGTCTCTATACATTTGTACTAAGAACACATTCCTGCCTGCATGAAGGCTAGAAAAAAAAAAAAAAAAAAGAGAGGTCCTTTCACAGCCACATCAGTTAGCAATTAAAATCCCTTGTTAGTCGCATGCAAACACAGTAAACTGAAGTGTTCTTTCGACATAAGGGCTGTCGAGGGCTAAAGCTGACAGCAACATCCCCCTGTGTTATTGATTTCAGCTAATTCACAACTGCAGCAAGTGGCATGGGCAATATTCAACACTTCCAACAACTAAAAGGACACATGTGTTTTAAAATGCACCAAGGCTAAGGGTGTCTGTCAGATCTTGTGACCATAGCACATCCCACTGCTGAGACAGCCAGTCCTACTCTGAGCCTGCCTCATCCACTCCCCACCGAAGTCTGGAGGGAGGACTCCAGAAATATAAGGGTGCTCAGTCTGAGCCAGGTACCTTCACTGTGCTGGGCAGAACACATCTTCAGATCGAAACACACTAAATTTTTACCATCATAGGCCAAAACCACTATTTCTAAGCAAGACAGCATGATAAGAGCGCCATTTGGCAAAGGTGGCTCCTGGCTGAGAAATAGCAAATTCCAATTTACAAGACTGAAACCCCAAGGTCATTAAAAAAACATTCTTCCTCATTGCTCACGAAAGCCAAAATTAAGAACCATTTGGGCTTAACTTCCAACACATCTGGAAACCAAACAGCTCAGCTAATAGAACACTTCATTGCTTGCGCAAAGCTGCTCAGTGCACTGAGAGAAATCTGACAGCTCTTGAATCACATTGAAAGCACTCAGACGCCTGCTTTCATGAGACTTCAAAACAAAGCTTCATTTTTCTAAGACAAGAAGCTAACCAAATTCAGCACTTGCACAT